GGGAAGAGCGCATGAAACAAGGCAGCTGTTCTCGAACACCTAAAAATGACAACTGTCAGTCCCCATTGCTGCTCGCTGGCTCGTGCAGGTGACGTCCATATGTTCACCACCAACTGTTCGGAGAGCGAGATCGCGAGGCTCTGCTGGTGGGTGTCCGAGTGCCTGATTTCGCAGTATTGCTATAGATCCTACATGGGTCAGTAAAGTGGACACCGAAATTGGCATCAACAACAAACATAGCTTTGTTTGCATCCATGGCACCCTCCGCGAGGATGACCTAAGGTCCCCAGATGGATGAATGATGAATGTGGCTAACACCATGCGAAATGACCATGCCCACTGCAAAATAGCCACCGAATGTTTCAGCTTGAGAGATATCCAGTTTTACCACCTAGCACAACTTGGCGTCAGCTGAAGCCAGCGCACAACGCGGGTCGTTTCAGAGTGTGCATCTTCGAGGTACAACAGTTCCCCTTCGATGTTAGTGAGGGTGCCAAGTATACACCGCCGCATGCCGTCCTAAATACGAATTCAGTTAGACCAAACTAGCTCTGTATTCACAAAAGAATGTAAGACAATGATCAAGCGCAGCGATACTGCGAAGCGTATCTAAATTTGATGCCCAGGCAGAGTCCCCACTGGAAAAGATATCCTCTTCGAGCCTGTGTGTCAGGAGGGGACTGCGAGCTGTTCTCCTACAAAAGAGCTGTTTCGTTAACGACGTGCCACCAAAAAATCTACTGCATTGATAAAGATTTAGTACCACCGCAGATGGCTCACTGCCAACAAAGCTCGAATCGCGCGCAAAACCTACATGTCGTGAGTACACACTAAAAAGGTACAACGCTGGTCATACGCATCTGCGCGCGCTACAGCACTACCGTGCTTCATGGGATGAGAGTACTTCGGCGCTGTCCATTGTGCCATCGATCTTGTAGTAGCGCCATCGTACTTAAAGGCGAACCTAAAACATTGCATGGGCATTTGTCTTCTTGATTTGAGTACGTTTTGTTTGCAGCATCGTAGACTAATCGTGGTGTTGACCACGCGTCCAATGAGCGTATGGTGGAGCTGCTCTGAGGAGATGAGAGCGTATCCAGGGCCGCGATGACCTATGTGGATGCCAATAGCTGTTGGAGACAGGGGCGAGTCGTACGACTGCCTTGTCAACGACACGTTCAATTTTATTGTCAAGGCGCACCACAATTGCATCCATGAGGACAACGATATCCGTAGGCGAAGA